TTTCTCCAAAACTGAGGTCTCAGGAAGAACCACATTTATAGCTCCCTTCTAGAAGCCACAGTGTGTAACTCAGAGCGTGCCCTTGCTCTCCCACCTATGAGACAGGCTTTGGCACATTCACGGGGGGTAACCGTGAGACCGGGACGTCTGAGCGTAGCTCTGGTCGGTGATATAGTTTGCTGATACATGGTTTTCTTCCACCTAGTGAGGTCAGCAGTCATTCCATTTTTCAGATGAACAAAATCCTTTAAATACACCCAGTCAGAGAAAGTTTGACTTGCTCTTTCTTTGTTCCTACATCTTGTTAGCTACTTGCTGACTCATTCTAAGCTTCATCTCATGATTCCTGACAGAATCATCCCAAATCATCCAGAGGCTATTAAATCTCATTACTTACCTGGCCATACTTTATTTAATGTGTCATTCTATGCTGCTACATCAAAACCAGATTATAATATGGTATGTCCATGTTATTCAAACAATATACTCACTGCTACTTGGTGGCAAAAATAATCCATTGATATTCCGAGGTTTGCTGTGATAAAACATACAGGTGATCTTCACACAACCAAGAGGTTGAGTTTCCCAGAAGCATGAAATACTGTTTTGCTAGACAAAGGAGGTGGGGGAAATGTAATAGTCAGATGCCACATTCAAAATAAATACAATGTGCTACAACACAACACAATGTGACAAAAACTATTCCAATTACTGATTCGGGATCATGTGTGTTTCCTGGTTTCTAAACTTGCTATTTAATGGATAAAGAAGATGTGGTACATAAACACAATGGAATATTATTCAGCCATTAAAAAAATACTGTCAGTTGCAACAACATGGATGGACCTAGAGGATATTAGGCTCAGTGAAATAAGCCAGGTGGAGAAATCTCGACAAAAACCGTATGATTTCACTTATTTGTGGAATATACAAACAAAGCAAAACAGAAGGAACAAAACAGCAGTGGAGTCAGACACAGAAGTGACTGGTGGTTACCATGGGGGAGGGGTTGGCATGGTTGGGTGGGGATGGTGAGGTGAATAAACGGGCACAAAAATTCTCTGTCATAATGTAAGTTGGTCACTGGGATAGTATGCATGGTGAATATAGCCAGTGGTTCTGTAACATCTTTCTATGTTGACAGACAGTAACCACACTAGTGGGGGTGAGGATTTAATAATGTGGGTAACTGTTGAACCACTGTTTTGTATATTTGAAACCAATATAAGATTGTATATCAATGATACTTCAACAAAAAATAAATTAATAAAGAAGATACGATGGATATTTCTAAAACATGTTCTCTATTTTTCTAAGAATTTAAGTTGAGCAAAGTGTAAAATGCCTAAAATTATATACTGCGAGGGCAGAACTATTTTTTCTTTATTGTGTTTTAAGAGTTATAAGTTCACTATTACTGAAGGGAGACAGTTTTAACAAACATGATGTGGACTTAATTCTACCTGCATCTCCATGTGTCTAAATTTGCAAAGTGGCTTGAAACATTTTCGCTGTCTCCATAATGAGCACACAGTGTTACTGCCAAGGGCTTCTTCACAGTGTCGGAATCGGCACTGGGAACCCTTAAAAAAGAAAAGGTCAACAGTGTAGAAAACTCAATATACTAATGTTAGTGTTCATCAACAGTGGGGTTCTAATGAAAGAAAATATAAGTAGATAAAATAGAATCATAAAAACACTACAAAATAAGGCCGTAAATCTAAATTTTAGCAAATTAGTCTAATTTTAGTGAGAGACTGACAATATAACCTGATGCTTAAATAGTCCAACATGCCACAAATCATTGATAAAATGCTACTTTTTGTTATCAGTTAATCCATATGCCTCACTAAAGATAAATACATGAGATCAACGATAACTCTTGATCACAATCCAGGGACAAAACAACTTAATTTCTCTTTCTGAAGAAAGCCAGAAAGAATCACCAGCCATGTTCGTATTCTATTCCAATCACTGGGGTTCATTCTGACATGATCGTGAAGCTGAAAGTTTCTACATTTATTTGGTTTCATTGAGATCCATTAATCCTAATCTCTTAAATTAAATATTTTTACCACCATTTATCTTTATAAACTTGAATTCTTCCTTCGCTAATTTGTTTATATCATTTCTTTTACTTTTACCATGATATTAAATATTTCCTTTTACTTAGACTTTTGATGGGAAGATTCAGTAATTGGGTTAGTGAATTTCAAATAGGGAATCAATTAGCTTTATTAAAGTTAATTTCAATAGTGACCTGAATTTAACTCTTTGAATTTACATGACTGGAATCACATTAACCAAAACAGTATGATGATGTAAAGTTTCAGTATCAGGAATCTGATGTCTCAAGGAGCCATAATATAAGCAAAAGTACCACCTGAAAATAAAAAAGCTATATGTATGTAACCGGCATATATAAGGGTAGTTTCAATAAATAATCTAAAATTATCCCAGCTCTCCTCAGAGAAAATCAGTATATCAAAAATAGATGATTAGCATTTACTTCAGATTTTAAATACATAAAATATTTTTGTGGGAAAACAGTAAATTTTGATTCAGCAATTACTGCCATATCTCATTCTACTAAAAAGCTTAAGCATATGAAGTAACATAAATTGTACAATATTTACCTTTATGCATGTGGAATTAAAAAAGAAATAGCAGTCATTCCCAACTTTTGCCATTTTCAACTCTCTTGCTGCTAATCCAATGTTTTTTAATATTAGAATTTCAGGAATGCAAATATAAGAATTATCAGTGTGTAAGGGGGTAAAGAACCTCTTTTCCACAGTCTTTCAGGCTATCAGTAGTATTCCTTTAAAACTGACCTCCTGTTGACAGTATATTACACAATAGGTAATTCTTAAAGAATTTAAGTTAGAAGATACCTTCTCCCTTCTCTAGCTTTGAAGAAATGTTGGAAGTGGTTGTTAGTAAACCACAAACTCAAAGTTCTGGAATTTTCCTTGTTACCTAATCCATTGTTTGCTCATCATAAAATGACCTCACATGTAACTGTAGGCTAGTTTACATCAGTGAATACTGTACAGTATTTCTCTTGCTGAATTCTAGCATATTAACCAAAAAGACTAGTAAAAATGAAATAGTACATTTATCTTTCACTGTCCTGATTGAATATTGAATACCTTTGGTGTATGCTAGGATCTAACATATCAGTCAGAAGGAAGTCTTTCTTTCAGAGTGTAATCCAGTAAGACCACTTTAAGTCCAGAAACTGGTAATAAGTCCTTGATGGCTCTTCAGGTTTATGAGAATCAGGCAAAGCTGCTGGCTGCTACCCATCAGCATAGAAATCCAGTTTATAACTGTGGATTGAACCTTTGGCTTTCCCCTGACTTGGGCTCTTCTGTCTCTGCCAGAGATTTTGCTCCAGGCACTAATGAAACCAAAGTACTGGGAATAGAGGGCTTCCTGAGAAATGGTAGCCATGCTGCTGCTATTCAAGGAGCAAGTGGAATGCTTTGGAAGATGATCCTTTCTCATAAATGAAGGAATGTTGAACCTAGAATATTCTGTGGCAGTTTGGGAAATGAAAGTTGATAGTTATGAGGGTTATTTAATTGTTTGTTTCCTTGAGACCCATGAAACAAGCTGCTTTTTAGGATTCCTCTGGAAGAACAAAAATTCACTGGTGCTTGACTATAAAATACTAAGAATTCTGGTCCCAATAACTCACTGCAGCCAGCATCAGGTGTTTTCTCCCCCTTAAATTTTTTTTTGGCCTTCTTGGGTTTTCCTATGAGAAATCAAAAATGACAAAGAAAGTAAACACTCTGAAATGGCAAACCTCTTCTTTCCTCTCTTCTCTCTCAATCTAGTGATGAAAACACAGTGAAATTTTTAAGGGATATTCTATTCTTTGAGAACCCCCTCATACATAGACACCTCCATTTTCCAAGGACTAAGTCAGGACAGTACCGGACAGTATGATACTTGCAGACAAGACAGAGAAATGAGAACTGGGCCTGTCCAAGCACATAAAAAATAGCACTAGACAACATTCTCCTATTTAGGACTACTAGGTTCAATGAAATAGGCTAATGTTATTTAATAATATTAATTATTGAGACTTAAATCTGTTGGTATTTGTATGGTCTCGAATTAGTCTAAGGCTAAACTCTGCACTCAGGAAATAACATCAGAACCTACTTTTGTTACTGAAAAACCTGGACTGGATCGCTGACGGAAGAACCAAGCGGCACTTGGAGGTCTTGGAGTGCTGAGGTTTTAATTTTACACTGGCGTGCTCAGAGGGGAGTAATCTCCCAAAGTCTGAGCCGCGAACATAGGCAAGGGAGAGCAATATATATCTTTCTGCTTCCTTATCTGCAACATTTCTACGAGCACAAGCAAGCAAGTGGGGGTAAGTTTACGGAGTGAGTTTAGGGAGTGAGTGCCTGGCAGAGCGGGAACTGAAGGAGGCTTCTTTTGTCTTTGCTGAGAAGCAGAAGGGAGGCTCCTGTACTAGATTGCTGTCCTTGTAAAATTTTCCCTATCACTTTGAACATATGCTGCCCAGTGAGGTATAATCCAAACAGTATATATATTTTTTTGTCCCGTGTTTTAATTGTAGCGTTTTCTAATATTCTTCCAGGAAAATCAGTTTTCTTTCCATCTTAGGATGTCTCTGAATATTTCTAAATTTCTACAGTGCTTTCCCCAGGAACTTATTAAAAAGAACGAGTAATTAGGTCTCACCAAAATGGTGTTAAATTGCCATCCGAAGTGATTTAATAAATAACTAAATAACAAAAATAAATTTAGTAAAAAATAATGTAAATAAAAAATTGTACTTATGCATTGTTATTGTTTAATTTTCATATACTACTGGTTAATAAGTGTGGTTAACTGCACACACCCAGAAGCGGATCCTTGTTTTTTTACTCTCTTCGCAACCTAGAGGACAGCGCGCGGGAGCGCGCGGCGGGGGTTCGCGCTTCTGCACTACAACTACCAGAAGGCCCCGCGGCCCGGCTCTGCTTCCGGGCGTGCGTCCCGGTCCGTGGCTCGGTGTGTGGGGCGCGGGGACGCCTAACCTGCTGTCGGGCGCGGTTTGCAGGCGCCCTGTCAGGTCGCACGGCGTGTGGGGCCCACCATGAGGCGCCTGGGTTCGGTGCAGCGGAAGATGCCGTGCGTGTTTGTGACGGAGGTGAAAGAGGAGCCCGCCACCAAGAGGGACCACCAGGTGCGGGGGTGCGGGGTTGCGGGGCGGGCGCGCGTTGCTTGCTCCTCGCGGCGCTGCTGGCGATGGCACCCGGCGCGCTGCAGCCGCCCAGCCGGCTGGGAGATTTTTTTAGGCTTGTCTGTGGAGGGCTGGGGTCCAGGTCTCTTACTCCTGAGCTTCAGGTTCTTAAACTCACTAGTTATAAGGGAGGAACTGATGGAGAGAATTTTTCTGCAGACAATTCAGACGTGCCTGCGCGTGGAAATTGAAAACCCACATCTTAAATAAGCCTCTCTTCTCAGGTTAACCCCTTCTGGGGAAAACTACCTTAAGAATTAACATAGTCCCCGCAATCCAAGCGTTACACATTTCAAGCACTTGGTGACAAAGTGGAGATTTTTAGAAGACTCGCTTTTCCTGCCCCTACTTGGGAACCGATGGCAGTGTTGACAGCCTAATTAGGTTCCCAAAGACCAGACTTCCTGTATTGTTACCTGTGATCACCTCCTTGATTCCAGCTTGTTGAAGCTTTCTCAGGGTTTAACGTTCTCTCCACTGTGTTTTACACCTAGAGGGGCCCTTAGAGAATGATGAGTGCCCTGTGTCAGCGTAATTCTTTAGTATATAACAAAAGTCCTTGATAGCAGAGCCCCCAGTTGTCAGTTGGGGGCTTCCAGCTCATCACACAAAATCAGCATGTGCATGTCGCAGACCCCCACTCTGCTTGCAGGATTTCCCCTGGCTTCTTGTCTTCCAGACTCAAAGACCTTTAAGGCCAAGACTGCCCTGTTATCTCTATGCCCAGTTTTCTAGGACCTGACACATGGTAGGCACTGGATAAATAACTGTTGAATTAAAGAATGAATGCTGGAGTCATTTCATGCCAGTTTTCCATTAATCTTAATGCTTTTTACCTTAAACATCTGGTTTTTACTGCTACCATTGTTAGAGTTCTTGGTATTTTATTCTCTGCTTATTGCATTACCTATTTCTTGCCTCCCAGAATGATCATCATTGGGTTCTTTCCTACTAAAAAGGTCACAGTTCCTACTAGTATCTGTAACAGTATCCTATTTTAAGCCGTAACCTAAATCCATGTGAACAGTGTTGCCCTGAGTAATGGGTCACTCCAGCTGTGATTCTCAACTTTGTATGTTGGGAGTGGGGACAGTTGGTAAAATTACCCTCCACCAGGAAAAATAAGCCACTTCTCTTGCCACTCTACAGTTAAGAATAGCCGATTGGTAGCATAGAATCCAAATCCTTAACTGTAATTCAAGGCTTCCTATTCATTAGGCCCATTCTACTCTTAAAGTGCCTCCTGGGCACCTGGGCTCCGTGGAAGTTGGCATATATGTCTGCAATGGAGGTGCCTACTTAAAGTGAAGTCTCTGTTCTAGCAAAGTTTGTTTTGTCCTGTAAACATACTAGGCACAATACTGTCTCTGTAATTTTATTCAGGCAATGCCCTCTGCCTGGATCACTTCTTGAATTTTTAATTTTTCAATTCATACTTTGTCTACAAAGTCTTTGATCATTTTATTTATCCCAGTGATTTCCATTACCCAGACATTTTAGGGGACCTCTTAATTAACATTCTCTATTAGTTTTTATACACACATAACTTGTTTTTACAGCCATATCTTGAAGTCTTTAATGGCAGGTAAAGGAGGACTTTGTGTACCCCTTGATATCTTATGTTGTCTTTTGAACATGTTGAGAGAAAAAGTGTAGATGATGATTCCTACAGAAGGGATATTTCAAGAGCTCCCAGCAGAGTAATCTGTCTCAGAATCTCTGATAAATTGAAATTTACACACATATACACACATTGTTAATGGGCCAGACCTTGGGCATTGTGCTACCACAGGTTAAATTGATACCCTCTGATAGTACTGTCATAAAGAAAGTAATGATAAATCCCCAGTCACTCGGTTTTGTCTTGAAAGTACTGAATCAGTACTAGGATGGAACTAATTTCCTAATTACTTGACTCCAAAACATTACTATTACTTTCACTTGTTAATCTTAAGGCCGCACACACCAGTGTAATGTTTATATTGTGCAGTTTTTCATATATGTAAGATGAATTTAGGCTGTAAAACAGTGGCATAAATCTTTTTCAGAAATTAAGATAAATTTTAGATAAAAAGTTGGTAGGGGCCATAGAAGCTGTTCTTTATTCCATTCTTGATGCTTTTTTGGCTTGTCTTCCTGAGAGTAGAAAGCCATAAATTATGCAAACAGTTTATTACTGATAAGACTGAAAGGGTCCCCATTTGTTTTTCTCCTCAGCATTTATCACACTTAACATTGTATTATGCCCTTTATTGCTGCTGTTTTCCTCATTAAAATGAAAGTTCTCCAAAGGCAGACTTTTTTGTGTTCACCTCTATTTCCAGTGCCAAGGACAGTACTCAACCTATAGGAGGCATTTAGCAAATCATTGTCAAATAAGTGAACACAGTGAACAGCTGTGCTAGGTAAGGACATGGTTCCTGGTGTCAAACTCCTTGTGGTAGATAAAGAAACATGTGAATAGTTACAAATCTGTGTGGGAAAAAAGGTACTGCGGTAATAGTGTAGAAGGGAGGGGGTGATGGGTGAGAACTTCACAGAAATAATTTTGAATTTTCTTAAAGGATAAACAGGAGATGACTTGTAGAACTACTAAAATCAAGACCATTCTGGGTGAGTGTGTGTGCAGCCACAGAAGCTGTGTATCTTAAACCAATTCTCTCTCTTTTTTTCAGCCATTTAAAGTTTTGGCAACTGAAACTGTAAGTCACAGGGCATTAGATGCAGATATACACAGTGCAATTCCAACGGAAAAAGTGGATGGAACATGTTGTTATGTTACTACCTACAGAGGTAAAATAAAACTGTACTACAAATTTTACTTATATTTCTTTAATCTATAAACTATATATATTTGAAGTGGGCATTTGTTCTTCATAAGCCCTTGAAAATGTAAGTGTAATAGCAAAATAATAAAGTCATGATTGTTATAATTTACTTATTTATAATATCATTGTTATTTTCTCGGGGGAGGAAGGGAAGGTAACTATCATTTACTTAATACTCATTAAGAGGCAGACTGACTTTATATTTGTTATCTCTAACAGCACCATAAACCTCTCCATTTCATAGATGTGGAAACCGAGGTTTAGAGAACTTAAACAATTCGTCCAAGGTCATATAATTAATGAGTGGCTGAGCTGCTAATAGAACCTTGGTTTTTCTGATCCTGGAGCTTCTTCTTACTCCACTGATCCCAGTGCTGATTCCATTGTTTTCTTTCACTGCTGGCAGTGTCTATAATTCATTTCTTTTTAATGTGACTTAAAAAAGGTAGAAATTAAAATGGGAATTGTCAGCAAATGTAAATGTAAGGGAGAAAATACAATGAAAAGAGAGGTAATCTTTGTGATTTTTCTGTGAAATAACCTCTGAATTCCAGCAGGAGAAACAGAGTAGTTAAATGAAAAATCAAATGCATTTCTCATATGAAGAAATCTCTTCTGAGATGCATGTTTTCATTTTTAATTATAAAATACATGACAAAATTTACCATCTTAACTATTTGTAAGTGTACAGTTTAGTGGTGTGTACAGTTGATATTGCGTTTCCCCCTCCTAGCCCTTGACAACCACCATTCTATCTTGTCCCTGTAATTTTAGCTCCTTTGGATATCTAATGTAAGTGAAGTTATATAGTATTTGTCATTTTGGGACTGGCTAGATGAATCACTTGGCATATTGTCTTCAAGTTGCATCCATTTTGTAGTACATGTCAGAATTCTCTTCCTTTTTAAGGCTGAGTAGTATTCCATACATGATGTTTGTATATACCACATAATTTCATGTATATACCAAGCAGCCATCAATGTATGCTTGGGCTGCTTCCACCTTTTGGCTATTGTGAGCAATGCTGCTATGAACACAGTATATAAATATCTCTGAGACCCTGCTTTTAGTTCTTTTTGTTATATATCCAGAAGTGGAACTGCTGAATCCTATGGTAATCCTATTTGTAATTTTTTGAGAAACTGTCATACTGTTTCCATAGTAGCCTCACCATTTAACAACAGTGTACAGAAGTTCCTACCAACAGTATACAAGAAGTCTAATTTCACCACATCCTCACCAACACTTTTTTGTTGTTGTTGATAATAGCCATTTTAATGGGTATCAGTGAAATAAGTTTTTTACATTTACTAGTAAAAAGAGCAAAAGGTCCATTCAGTCAGAAATACAGACTATAATTTTAACCTGGTTATTTATTGGGATAGCTAATTAGTAATACAGAAGGTCTGAACCAAACTAAAAATCAATAATTATTTAGTCTCTGATTTATATATTTGAAAAAAGTATAAGAAAATTTTTAGACTTTTATATTTATATTAAGAAATGTCATTGTGCATCATTATGTGTGATTATGTATAATGGTGGCAGTTGAACAGGATTGCCTTGTCAGGACCCAAAATGGCAATGCTAGCAAATCCTGCTTATTACACTACACAATATAGCAAGGGCATTAATGTAAGGATGTGTACTGCAGCCAAAGACTATCTCAGCAGAGGGTCTAAGTGAGGCCAGCTAAAGTTCCTATTGTCACCCCACCCTCAAGGTCCTGCAGGACACATTTTCTCCAATCAGGACCCACTGTGTGCAAGGAACACCTTGGAAATGGGATCCATAATGGAGTCTCAACTGGAGATTTGTTCTCTTCTTGCTAGGTAACCAGCCTCAAAAACAGCTTCCAGGGTACTCACAGACCAGGTGCAACTCATTAGTCTTTAACTGTTACCAGTAAAGAATGCAGGTACATTGCCCTGAAACTTCACAGATCCTTGATCATAATGCATCACTATTACTAGTGTTTCATGCCTTGATCAGGGGTCAGAACTATGCAGAACAGTCCAGCCTAATTCCAGGTTTTTGGTAATTAACCCTTCTAGCATGTAGTTACATTTTAGGGAAGGTGTGAATACAAGCATCTGGTTAGGATTCCATTTAGTAGAGAGGTAACTTTAGTTTCTCCAGTGCTAGTTACTCATAAAAGATGGTTGTGTAATGTCCTTATGAAACGGTAACTTACTTATTTTTTATTTCATCCCCATCATCCTCTAAAAAAAGACTTAAAGTCTTCCTACATCATCAGGTACCCGTAGGTAGGATATGTCTGTTAGACTACCTGTTTCCCTGCCTTCTACAGTTACTTCCTTAGATGATCCCAACTGTTCATTGACAAATTTCATACTGAAATGTCTTTCAAGATAAGTTTTATTGTTTTCATCTTAAACTTTTCTTATCCTTTTATTATTTTTTTAGGTCAGCCATATCTTTGGGCTCGGCTGGATAGAAAGCCTAACAAACAAGCTGAGAAAAGATTTAAACATTTTCTATGTTCGAAACAAAACTCAAAAGGTTAGTGAGTCTTTTTTTTTAAGTTTTTCATGATTTAAGTAAGCAGTAATTTTTGGCTTATTTCTTGTTATGGTATTTATTACATCTTTTATACAATTTAAGCATCTTGGGAAAAGAAAATTACAATTGAGTATCTTAATACATAAAAGAATATTCTTGAAAAATATTTTAAGTTGTGTTCCTAACATTTCTGTGACTTTTTATTACATTATGTTTATTAAGACTACAAATTATTATTTATGTATTCTAATGAGCAACACATTTTGGTTTTGTGTGCCTAAGAGACAAATATAATTTACATTAGGCACAAATCTCAAAGCATTATTAATATTTTTATTACATTAAAATGTCTCAATATCATATAAGGTGATATAAGTCATCATTGTACGTCTGCTTATTCATATATATGTGTTTTTATTTGTAGTGACTCAAAAAGCCATCATAAATCTACATATACTGGGACATTGCTACTTTAGTTACACTGTTGTCCACTATTTATAGAGAGTGGTGAGCTAAAAATTGAAAATTTGAAGTGTTCGTACCCTGACCCTGAGAAGTATAGTTACATAATGAATGGAGAATAATTATATACCTGATACAATAGGGTTTGTTAGCTGTACCCACTTTGAATTTGTTCAGTATTTTGTATTTTTTAAAGTGTTGCCACATGTAAGATTATTTAACTCTTTTAGAATTTTTTTGGAATGTTGAGGAGGACTTCAAACCTGTTCCAGAGTGCTGGATCCCAGCAAAGGAAATAGAACAATTAAATGGGAATCCCATGCCTGATGAAAATGGACACATTCCTGGTATCATGAAAATGCTTCTAAAATGCAGTTTTGTGTTTAATAGTATAAAGAACAAAAGAGCCATTCAGTCAGAAATTACAGAATTTAATTTTAATCTGGTTCTTCATTATATTTATCTGTATTGCACAAAATTTCTGCATCTATGTTAAGTTTAACAATATATACTAACGATGTATTCATATCAAGAATGTTCTCTCGGGTTTATAATCTTTTCTAAGAAGTGCCATTAACTACCTGTAGTCTGTAGAAATTAATAAAGCATTGTGGGAGTAGTGTATGTGTAGTTTTTGCAAAGATCCTAGACGACTTTCTCAATAGAGGGAGTTGAACATAGGTGTCTCCCACGGAGTTTTTCTGGGGATGGGAAAATTTTTACAAAAGTGTGCTGAGTAGGATACCCCAGATTAAGGTTCAGTACAACAGGGGTGCCCTGAGTACCTGTAATATTCAAAATACTTATAGGTTCTAGTAATAAAAAAATGAAGATGAGAACAGTTATCTTTGATGATGTTTTAGACTTTAGGGGAAATCCACCACTAATAGTAGTATGATTTAATAACTAAAAGGAAAGAATACACAGGGTACAGTTGGATAGAAGAGGAAGAATTCTAGTTTGACCTGCGTTGGTTAGAGGAGGCTTCTAGGCAGAGTGAGTATCTGTCCTGAAGCTTAAGAGGCAGAAGTTACCAGCAAGGAAGAGGGAAGGTCAGTTATGTAGTCCTCTGGAAATATTAGGTAATGCTTCATTGTGGCTGGAATGTTGAGGGTGTATGACATTTGAGGACACTAAAATGTTGAGGATGAAGTTTGGAATCTACTCAGATCTTACAGCGGTATTAGTATTCCATCTAAAGATGTTTGAAGTTTATCCTGAAGGTGATTATTAGGGATACAGTAAAATGGAATTACAATTTTTGAAATAGAACTATAGGGTGGGTTTCATTGGAGACTGGTAGACCAGACTGGTAGACCAGGTTATCATAGTGATCTGGGTGAGTAATGAAGGCCAAAGATGATGATGGGCACAGTGGTACATATGCCCTAGTTTGTCTGTTTTGGGGTAGAGGGAAGGCTTCTCTTCTGGCAACAGGAGTTAGCAGAGGAATTGCAATAACATTCAGTAAATGTGAAATCAGTAAGTTGTGCAGTAAATGTTGGAACAATAAATTGTAGAGCACTTACTGTATATGTCTGTTCCTGAAACTGGAGAGAAGGAAGAGAGATTAATTAAAGAAGGTTTTAATGCTTTGTCTTGGAATGGTTCTTAGTTCTTACTGAAAAGGTGAATTTTCTGGTAAAGGAGTGTTGGGTGCTCTGTAGTAAATAAGTAAACAGGTTAATTTCTCAGTAGAATAAAAAAGAAAACATTATTAAAAAATCATGATTAAGAAAGTAGTAAAACTTACGATTTTAAAAGTGGTAACTGTTTGATAGGATATCCTGAAAATTGGAAAATTTACAACAAAGATAAAGATGACCTTGTAACAATCCAAAGAAAAACAGTATAGTAAAAGCACTTTTTTCCTTAAAATGATAGGTTGGGTACCAGTGGAGAAAACCAGTAAACAGTATTGCTGGCATTCCTCTGTAGTTAACTATGAGTTTGAAATCGCCCTGGTGCTGAAGCATCATCCTGATGAGCCTGGTCTTCTGGAAATTACTGCAGTGCCACTGTCTGATCTCTTAGAACAAACACTGGAGCTTATAGGAACAAATGTTAACGGAAATCCATATGGTAAGTAAAGCCTTTTCCTTGGTCGTTGTAATAACAGTCATTTATAGAGAGAACTTTCTAGGTTCAATTTAAAAACAAAGACTAAAAACATGACTGATAAATTTGAGTAGCCTCCTAGGATTATAAACATTTTTAGTAATTTTATGTACTTGGAGAAATTTATACATAATTCTTAACATTTCACTAATGGGCTGATATTAGTTCCTCATTCTTTGCTGTACTATATTTCACTACTATTTTATTAAATGTAATTAAGGGTAGCTTCTTGTTGCTTTTTCAGACAGTGACTTGAGTTGAATGACAATCATGATGTGCTTTTCATGGCTAGATAATTAATTTAGCATTAATTAAGAGCTAAGAGTAAAGTAAATAAAGAATTGCCAATGAATAGCATATCAAACATCAAAATGTATAGGATGGATTGAGTCCATGTCCTGAGGGCGCTATGGGGCACATTGCTGTCAGGGATGCAGACACACCCAAGGATATTAAAGCTGGAATAGGGAAATCTTATATGGAGATCGGGAGCCTACGGACTTGACTGGCTCGTGGAAAAGAAGCTAGGGTAGTGAATATGCAGGGTCTCAGAGATAGGCGTGGCTTTGGGCAAGCGTTAAGTCATAGTTGAATGTGGTTGTTGGTATAGAGCAGGGGTTGGCAGACTTTTTCTTTAAAAGGCCAGATAGTAAACATTTAGGTTTTTGTGGGCCGTACCTCTGTAATAGGCTGTAGGCGGTTCTTAAATGAATGGGTGTGGCTGTGTTCCATTGAAACTTAAAAAAAAAAACAGGCATGTTGCTAGATTTGGCCTGAAGGTCATGGCTTGCCCCCCTGGTGTTACTGAGTACACAAAGGTGAATTTTAGATTTGATGGATAAGACACCACTTCTAAGTGAGAGCACTTGTAGTATCTCTGTCTTCAAGGAAATCAGCTAAACTGTTCGGTAGATTTATACTTAGTTATTTTCAAAGGCTTTTTTATTTCGAGAGGTAAATGTCGTCATTCTTTTTGAAACTTGTATGGCTAATGGCAAATTTTTACCATTTAGGGTTAGGAAGCAAGAAGCATCCGTTACATCTTCTTATACCACATGGAGCATTTCAAATAAGAAATCTACCTAGCTTGAAGCACAGTGATCTGTTGTCCTGGTTTGAAGGTTGCAGAGAGGGTAAAATTGAAGGAATAGTATGGCATTGCAATGATGGCTGTTTAATCAAGGTAATGGCAGAAAACAGCTTGTGGGATTATGTTGTCGTATGTTCTTAAAATAAAGTAGAAACGGCACTAAACTACTCTATACAAATTGCAGTAATTCTGACATGCAGTGGAGAAATTTAATTTACTCTCACATGCCACCATCCTTTGTATGATGAAATCATGTTTCCCAGGGTGTATTCATTCTCTGGTGCACTGATTCTTCTAAATGTGCTTCAGAATTAACATGATAAAAATACCCGGAAAACCCTGCATACTGCATAACCCCTTCTCAGAAATTCATGTGGCACATTATTACTCTCTGAGACATTCTGTACCAACTTAGTTTAACTCATTATTTCCCAAACTTGCTTGACTATAGAACTTACAGAGTTAAAAAAGTGCTAAGGTGACAGGTACATACATACAGAACGAATTATTTTACACTTTGTGCCCTTTTTGTCTCCCAGAATTGTCTATTTGATTTCTCACAGGTTCTTGAAATCTGTAATGTTCAAAACTAGACCTACTTACACCAACTCCCTAACTCCAGCAGTTCACTGAAGCCAAAAACTTAGATATCATTTTTAACCTCTCTCCATTACTTCATACATCCAGTGGCCAATTATGAAGTGTTACATCAGTTGAACCTGTGCACTTTTGTACAACCAATCAGCTGTTTAATTTTAAGTTAAGATTTAAGCTTGAATTATCACCCTCGTAAATTGAGAATGTTACTTCCCTGATTAAGACTGTTAAATGACGCCAAGATTTTCCTGCTTAACTTTCCAAAACTGCTCTCTTCCCCCATCTCTCTCTTAAACACACCCACAGTGTTTATATTGTAACCATACTTAGTACAATCAAAGCAAAAATCACTATTCTATCATGTGACATTTCCTTTGGTTAGAATGCCTCTCTGACCACATTTTTCAATTGGCTAGCCTCTGTACTAAGCAACAGACTCTTTATGCATTAAATATTTATGGAGCCCCTGATTATGTTCCTGGCATGTTTCCAGGTGCTGGAAATACAGAGTCAACAAAACAATGTCTCTGCCTTCATGAAGCTCACATTCTAATGGGGAAGATAGACAATAAACAAGTAAATATGTAATATGTCAGGAGGAGAACAGCTATGAAAAAATAAGGGTAAGATAAAGTAGAGCCTTACGTAGTGCCTGGCAGATGGTAGGCACTCAAATATTTGTAAATGAATGAAGATAACATAGGCTAAAGCTTTTTCTCTTTTCAGGTCCACCGCCATCATCTTGGTTTGTGCTGGCCAATTCCAGATACTTATCTGAATTCAAAACCAGTTATAATCAACATGAACCTGAACAAATATGATTATGCCTTTGATACTAAGTGTTTATTTAATTATTTTTCAAAAATAGATAATCAGAAATTTAGTAGGCTGAAAGATATAATACTTGATGTATAAACTGGAAATGCCGTTAAAAACCAGCTTTATTGTTATATTTGAATCTTCAATACCCCGCCATGTTTAAAAGGTAAAAATGGCTCATGGTTCCTAATTATTCAGTGTCTAATATAGCAATATGTCTTCCAGCATTTGAACAAATGAATTCCCCAATTGCAAATATCTATTCAAAAGTTTATTTAGAATCAACGAATGAATTTTACTTTGGTCTTGAAAATATAATAGTAAGCTCTCCAGTTTGTACAAAGGGTGGATTCTATCTATCATAAGAGGGTAGGAATTAAAAGACAACAATTAAACCAACAATTTTGGATCATTTATTTTCAAAATTAAATAGTTAAAGCTGAATTTAATCTTATATATTTAATAAAACGTGGCTCAACTTCACAACATACATATAAATGATTTGAGAATCTTAACACATAAAAATATGTAAGTATATATAAAACTCCAATTTTAAAATCATTATTTACCCTCATACCAAAAAACTTCAAACACAAACATACAGAAATGCATCATAGCTTATTGCCTGTTTGATAAACCATAAATTACTTTAAAAGTCTTCAAAAATATACTTTTCTAATATGTTAAAAATATCACATAGTTTTATGCACTTAAACTTCCACTTTAGGTAAAAGTACAAGGTATTGGGAAGGAAATGTAGCTCAGAGACTTGCTTGACTTCCAGGTGGAATTTTAACTTAAATAGTTAATAAATGGGGAAATTAGTAGGACTTTCTTCTTCATCTTCCAGCTGTTCAGAGCAGCAGCAGGACTAGTTAATTCAACTCTAAACTGTTCAGAAAGTTTTTTCAACTTCTCTTCCAAGAGAATATTTTTTTTCACTTCTTTGTAATAATACTTCAGATCTTCGATTTCTTCAAAAAATGAAGGATCAGAATTTTCCACTTCTTTCTTCAGCTTTTTTACTTCCTCCTAATAGAAACATACAATCTTGAAAAACTGTGTCAAGGAATATAATACATTTTCTAGATTTGAACGAAGGAGATTTAGTTACAAACATGAGAGCCAAAGTAACCTGAATGGTCAAATATAAAGGCAGAAGTATGTCCTTAAGATTTTGTTCTTAAGGCCTCATTGCACAGTATAACTCACTTAACTTGTTAACTGTCAAATCGAATTATTTGTTAGTTATGTCCTAGTCTTTGACTAAAATTTATCAACTCTTAAATTACAGGGGATTGAATCTTTCTTTAAGCAAGTACTCCCAATGTGGCAACCAAAAAACTTGGCTATTCACAATATTGAAGTTATTTTGGTTAAAATTCCTTGGTTTATATTTTCTTCACAAATATCTAATTTTTAATGAATAATGGTCAAATTCTTATAAATATATTTATGATCAGGGAAACTGTAGGGCTTCTTCCTGGAAAAGAGGCATCTGGTAAAGAGACAATTTGAGCTTTAATGACCACTTAGAATGGTCACTAGTTAATTCTCAAATTTATACACCTCTGTTTATAGATTCTTAGATAAAAGATAGCAAATCTCTTTCTTTAAGGGAGCTATTCCTGAAAAGTATTTCAAAATAAACACTGTTCTCAATGTGATTCCAAACTTACAAAATGTTAATGAGCTGTATCTGTGACAATTAAAAAATAAATTTAATTCTATTTGTTTTGTCTAAGTTTCTTTTGGTAGCTCTTAAGAAATATTTATTTTTAACACAGATGAATATAATGAATTTGGCAATATCAAGGTCAGATATAAGATGCATTTTTAGGAGACATACTTAAAACTCAGATTATGATCATAAAACTAGTTTTCAAAAAACAGTGCTAATAATAGATATAATTAAACATCTAATTACCTTGAAGTGCTGCTTTTCTAGATCTGAGGTTTTGAGCTGTGTTTCTAGATCTTTTACCTTTTCCTTTAGTTGATGAGGATCTGCCAAAAAAATTAAAATCAGACTTAGCCCTTTCCCAGGCTGATAAAGGATTTATTTAAGAGAATAAGGAAAAAACTCAATGGCATCAGAGCCTGGAAAACATGGCATTTTATGGCTGAAACACTTCTCAGGCTATGAATCCTGTATGCGCTATATCAGGTATTATAATTCCACGGCAGACAAGGATGAGGCATCTGCTAGGTACCAGAAGCACAGAGTCAGGTCAACTCTTTATGTGGAAGAAGCTATTTTCCAGAGAAAACTTCTACAAACAAGAAAATTTGTTAGATACTAGAAGTACAACAGAAGCACACAGACGCAGGTACACCTGGCCTGTGAAAATACGCCGGTGAAATGCTTCTGTTCCCAAGAGTACTGGCTATTCCATGTAGGTACACTTAACAGTGTAATTACTATGTAAAAATGTTCTAAACGGGTGGGTAACACAAAGATGAATAAATCCTGATGACTTTGGTAGGAAACACAAGTATACAACTATAGCACAAGGACTTCAATTTACCAGAGTTAACACATGTCTAATATAACAAAAATCAATGGGCAATAGGACTAATTGCCATCTTTGCTAGAAACTTATTTTCTTTAAATACTACATATGATGTGTCTTGTGGTCACATTTTACAGCCACTGAAGGGTAAAATTTTTTAAATAATGCTAGTTAGAGAAAATACTGGGTAACCAATGCAATTTCATGAATGGGACAGGAAGCACATTCTATTAACGTGCCCTTGGAACAGTTTCCTCCCTAATTATAAGTTGGAGACAGGAAATTTTTTCCATATCCTCCCTTATGTGAATGGAGTCAGAACTCACCTTCCTTTGGAAGGCAGAGCAAAATCATACTTTTCAAAGCTCTCTTCACCTTTGTAGAAAGTGCTGATTTTTTTACACAGTTCGTTCACTCTCACTGGGATGCTATATATATTGAGTTGATTGTCTTAGTGGGACAATCACTATATGTTACACAGATTGGTAAGGAAATAATGCAGTAAAAGTAATTACTGTGTATCGTACTTTGCAAAAGTTAGCTTAGTGAAAACTTGTATTTGAGTAGTGCCTTAGAATTTCTAAAATAGTTTTGGTTTGATTCCGGGCTTTAACAGTATTTTAAATATGACTGGATCCTTATCTCCTAGGAGAGGATGAGGGTTCAGAAATTCTCTCTCAGGAAACTGAGGTTTAGAAAGAACTTGCATAATGTCAACAGCATTGACAGGTGGAGGGCACTGTATCTAGTAAGATGAAGCTGGCTGCCCCAGGACTGTTGAGAGGTTTATGTATGCGGCAATGCAGTGCAGTGGACAGCAGGGAAAGGCAAGCAGTGTTGGAGTTTCATAGATCTAGGTTTCATCCTGCCTCTGCCACTTCCTGGCTGCAGTGACCTTGGGGACAGGATACTTAACCTCTTTGAATCTGTTTATGGAGTCAGTGATACCCACTATACAGAATTATAATCATTAAAATGTAAAATGCTTGTAAAGCACTAAGCATAGTGTCTGGTACAACTCATACAGCATAGTCTTAATACGAAATAGCAACAGGACTGTGTGGTAGGATACTGAAAAAGCTATATGAAAATAGTCAAAAACTGTAATATACAAATATAAATTGATATTAATTGTTTGGAATAGAATTCGGCATTTCCATCAAGCTATCAAATATACAAACAAATAACTGATTCTCATTTGCAGTTCTGTTCTAGAAAGTCAACATGAACAATGACTAGGTGACGGGTCATTTCTCTTAGAACACATACACATATATCTCACATAGATTATAATCTTAAATCCTGGAAACATTTCATCTTAGTAGCTTCTATGTTCTTTTACAAAAGAGAAAACGAAGTTGAGAAGTGTCAAATGACTTCTGAGGCTGCACTGCTAACAAGTGTCAGAGCAGGGATCTAAATCCGTCCAGTTGGCCCCCAAACCGGAGTTTCTTGGCTCTTTACGGCACTGCTCCCTACTGTTTCCTTTCTCTGATCACCTCTGCATGAAAGCTGGACAAGCGCAGAACCTGTTGGAGTTCATCTGTTAAGTGTGGGTCATAACTTAATTTTTCACTGCTCTGTATCTCTGCAAAAGCACCATGAGTACTGACTTGGAGGTTATGAGTAAGTTTTAGTGAGAAGGTGAATTTGCAAGTACAGAATCTGCAAATAATGGGGATCAACTTCATTTTGTGTGTGTAGATATATATACACATACATTAAGTCTATATGTATACACGTGCATACGGGAGTCATTACTTCTGAATGCAAATGGAAGGGAATAGAAGAACAGACTGTGACTTTGTAAAAGGAAAAAAAATGTAGGCAAGATTACTTATGTAGTTTTAAAATTATCAACAAGATGACAGTAACATTTAGAAGATAATGTTCAGAGGGCTTAAAAGGGCCTGTACTTAGAAACTGGAAGCAACAGACCTAATATTAAATCTGTAACATCCATATGGAACACAAGAAGCAAAAACACTTGGAATAGTTGCTACTCAATATTACAAACAGCTCAATTTATTGTTGCATGGAGGAAACACCTCTAAAAACTTATATTATAGAGATTTGGTTTTCAAGGAAGATAGTTACCAAAAATCTGAACAAACAAAAAAGGCAAACCCTAATTCAAAATCTTGGGTTAGTAAACTTTCCATTATTAGTTATAAAATACACTTACCAGGTATGGTGCTCTCAGCTCCACTTTGGTTTTTGTTAACTTCTATCTGATGGATTAATTCTGCTTTTTCTTTCTCCAGCTGACTATTAGCAAGTCTAGAACACAGTGGTAATGTGTTAAAACAAAAACACAGACATTGCTCTGTGAACTATATGGGCATTTCTTAAGAACTGTATGATGTACAGTGCTTAAGACTTGCTTATATCTATAAAGGTAAACATTTATTCATTTATCATCACTGCTCCAGTGCTACCATTCTCAGAGGTCATGAAATCAAAATTCTTCATGTTTTTCTTAAAACCTGACCTGATGTCATTTTGAAGAGTAGTTTTCCTACCAGAGGAGTCTCATGAGAGTATGTTATACAGACCCTGGCAGTGAAGAATTGTTTTTCTCTCATTATTATGTACCTCTGGAAAGCTAACGTTTGATATATTCTATACTATTAAAATTTAAATTAAATTACAAACTTGACACCCGTATTAGGATTTGGCTTGCCCTTTTTTTGTATCTATGATGTAGAAGAATGGTATAAGAATGAAAATAGGCTGATAAGCTATTTGGCAGCAAGGTTAAAAAATCCCCATCATCTCTAGACATAACAAACCTGGTTATATTAAAAGATAATTAATGAAAAAAAAGTAGGTGAACAGATAATGTTCCTAAGAACTTGAAGCTCCCACGAAGACTTTGTTCTGTCTCATCACCTTCAGGAATATGTTTGAGAATCTCAATCTTTGGGCACAGTGAAAAGTTGGAAGACAAAGTTGACATGGAAATGTATGAGGTTTTATAAAGATACACATTCCAATAAAGCAAAACATTAAAAATTGGGTTTTCAAAAGCTCATGAGCACACATTTATGGTGTTCTGTTCATTATTCATTTAACAGTTATTAAGTAACTGCTCGTGTTAGGCTTGTCCAAGGCATAGAGGATACAACATGTGAAAGAGGAAACCAGATGCCAGATCATGAAAACAGCCTTTAAATTTCATTCTGAGATAATTAGGGAACCAATGGAAGATTCTAAGAATGGGACTGCTGTGATTTTCTTTGTTTTGTTTGCTTGGCAATTACGTGGAGAATAGACTGAGTCAGGGAGAAGGTGAAACAAGGCAAGAGTAGGAGCGGGGAGACCAGTTAGGAAATTTTGCAAAAGTTCAGATGTGAGAGAATAGCTTGGCCTAGACTGGCAGTGTTAGAGGTGCTGAGACATTGTCACATTCGGGACATTTTGAAAATAGAGCTGAGATGATATAATAAAAAAGATGTGGGGTGTGAGAGAAAGGAATTAATGACCCAAGGTTTTTGGCTTAAACAAATGGGTGAATAGTGGCACCACTCTTAGACGGGCCTCTGGGGGAAGAGTTAATAGTTCATTTTTACCTTCAAAAGACAGTACCAAGAAGTGGCTTGACATACAACGGATTGTTTCACCATGTGAAAAAACAAAAACAAAGCTGCACTACTTGCCTGGTGCTCGATGTCTTCAGTATATTTCTTAACTTTTTGTTCCCTTTCTGTTGCTTGTCTTACAAGCTGTTTAAGATCAGTAAGGCTATGGTTTTTTTTTGGCAATATCAGTTTCCAATTTTTTCAACTTGGCTTCATACATTCTGAAAGTATAAAGGAAAAAAAAGATAGAGACATGGAAAAATTTTTTCTCACTGATTTAAAAGCTAGTTCGAATTTTTCCATTAAAAAAAGGAACAATATCTTGTCATATTGTTTCTTCTAGTCAAATCTGTGAGTATTTATTTAGCACTAGGTGACAAAGGTGAATATCCCTAGTTAACAGGTACATTAAAATAGGATTTAGATGTTTCCCTGGGATGGAGCCTGAATTTGATCACTGTAAAATACTAAAATTAATACCTTTTTCAGTCACAAAAAGCAGAAAGGAAAATTCATCAGAATATCAAATACTATATTATTGGATATTCTTAGGAATATAAACACTGCAAATTAAAGCATTTCACAGACACGTACCTACACACAAACATACCAAAAAATGAGGCATCCAAGT